CTGGACCTAAAGAAGCTACGTCAGAGTCACCTATTATGCACATCTCCAAATGAGCTAAAAAATGATGAAAAATTGTTTTGGAATATGTGAAGAATATTGGAGCAAATAACTACCAGAGGGGGCCACCAGGTGGGTACAACCCACCTGGGCGCGCCAGGCAGCCCAGGCGCGCCCTGGTGGGTTGTGCCCTCCTGGGCCCACCTACCATGCCCATCTTCTGGTATAAAGGTCATATTGACCTAGAAAAAATCAGGGGAGGACTTTCGGGACGAAGTGCCGTCGTCTCGAGGCGAAACTTGGGCAGGAGCACTTTTGCCCTCCGGCGGAGCGATTTCGTTGGGGGAACTTCCCTCCCGGAGGAGGAAATCATCACCATCGTCATCACCAACAACTCTCTCATCTTTGGGAGGGCAATCTCCATCAACATCTTCAACAACACCATCTCCTCTCAAACCCTAGTTCATCTCTTGTGTTCAATCTTTGTACCGGAACCTTAGATTGGTACTTGTGGGTGACTAGTAGTGTGATTAAATCTTGTAGTTGATTACTATATGGTTTATTTGGTGGAAGATTATATGTTCAGATCCATTATACTATTTAATACCCCTATGATCTTGAGCATGATTATCATTTGTGAGTAGTTACTTCTGTTATTCAGGTCACGAGAGAAGTCATGTTGCAAGTAATCATGTGAACTTGATATGTGTTCGATATTTTGATGATATGTATGTTGTGATCCCCTTAGTGGTGTCATGTGAATGTCGACTACATGGAACTTCACCTTATTAGGGCCTAAGGGAATGCATTGTGGAGTAGTTATTAGATGATGGGTTGCTAGAGTGACAGAAGCTTAAACCCTAGTTTATGGGCTACTTCGTAAGCGACCGATTTGGATCCAAAAGTTTAATGCTATGGTTAGATTTTATCTTATTTTCTCGTAGTTGCGGATGCTTGTGAGAGGGTTAATCATAAGTAGGAGGTTTGTTCAAGTAAGAACAACACCTAAGCACCGATCCACCCACATATCAAATTATCAAAGTAGCGAACACGGATCAAGCTAACATGATGAATGTGACATGGTGAAATTCCCTTGTACCCTCAAGAACGTTTTTCTTATTATAAGAGACTGTTTTGGCCTGTCCTTTGCCTCAAAAGGATTGGGCTACCTTGCTGCACTTTTGATACCGTTACCGTTACTTGTCCGTTACAAATTATTTTGCTATCAAACTACCTGTTACCGACTATTTCAGTGCTTGCAGAAAATACCTTGCTAAAAACCACTTGTCATTTCCTTCCGCTCCTTGTTGGGTTCGACACTCTTACTTATCGAAAGGACTACGACTGATCCCCTATACTTGTGGGTCATCAACCGCAGAGTTGAATAGAAACATTTTTGACGTCTCGAATGCGCTAAGTTATGACCCCAGAATCGTGGAGGGTGACAACAAAATGAGGGAAGCGATGAAGGTAACTTTAAGCTCATAGCATTCTGTTCGAGCAACCACAAATTTGATCCATGTCACGTTCTTACTTATTTGCAACCCTAAACCTAATCCAAGCCATTCTCTTCTTTTTTTTTGCAGAAGATCATGAACCGTTGCCGCAGGCTAGCGGGCATGCTTGGGTGTGCTGCCTCGGTTGACATGCATGTTCCTGCTCCTCGTGGGTCGACACGTGCCCTGGCTTCATCGAGCCACGCCGGCGGAGGTTCCTCTAGCCATGCCGCCTCGTCGTCTCGCATTGTTGACGAGACCGAGGAAGAAGATGATCAAAGAGAAGAGGACAAGGTGGAAGAGGGAGAAGAAGAAGGAGGTGACGATGAAAGAGGTGATGAGGAGGAGTACGACGACGATGACGAACCTCCACCGACTCAGGCAACCCTGGAGAAGAGGGTTTCTCATCCACACGAGGATGTTTTGAGTCCATCACCGTTCCAGAAAGAACGCCCTCGTTGTCGCCCGAACAAGCCGGACGAAGGCCGCTCGAAGAAAAACGAGGAGCGTGCCGCCAAGAGAGGGATGGGGGGGGGGGACTAGTTCGTGTTGAACTCACTTAGTTAAAGTAGTTGTGCCATGTTGAACTACTCGGTGTTGTCTTATTGCTACCTTTTTTTGCTATGTTGAATCATATTTCATATGTTCAACTTATTGGATATGACCATTTGCTATCTATAATGTGTGAGGTCATCATATTTTCATATGCTGTTGTTGTGTGTTTATCTATGGCACTGTGCAAAGTTATATATGTAATTCAAATGGTCAAGTTCTTGTAGAAAATTTAGGGAGAGAAGCTACAGCTAGGAACCATGGCGGTAGGATCTCACAACTTACCGCCATGTCCCATGACGCTAGGTTGTGAAAACTACTGCAAAAAAGCCCCCAGTTTCGCTTACAAAACTGTGTCGCGCCTGCCACACCCTACCGCTGCGGGGGATGGCGGTAGGATGTGATAACTACCGCAAAAAGAGGCCCGTTTTCTGTCACAGAAAGCTGGCGCCAGCACAGATCCTACCATGAAGTGTGTGGCGGTAGATTTAGGTACCCTACCGCCGTCTAGCCCGACGATAGAGCAGCTAGGACACGTCAACCCGCAAACAGCTGGTTGACGGGGCGGGCGTTAACCTACCACCAGGGGGCATGGCGATATCCTGTTATACCCTACTGTCATAGGTTCCGGCGGTACGATAAGAGTTAGATCTGAAAAAAATCGAACCAGAGTCAGATCCTACAGAACTGGGTGAAAATACGAAATTTTACCAAATTTGGCCAAGCGGTGCAAATGAGTCGGAAGGAAATGACAAGTGATGTGCACGAGGCGGGCTGGAACGTGGAAGGAGAGGGGACACGCGTAGGCAGGAGCTGGCGTGGACGGAAGTGAAGCGAGGAGTTAGCAGCTAGTGACTGGTGTCGTGATGACGGTACTAGTACAGATCTGACTGACGGGAGGGGATTTAGTTTAGAGGTCACGACAGCAGCATGGCATCAGCAGTAAAAAGCCTAAAAAGGTCGTCACATGGACGAGGCTGAGCCACCCAGCACAGCACATCCCAGCTTTGCTTTGCTTTGCCTCGCCTTTTTCCCTTTCCGCTTTCGGCTCACGAGCTTCACACCCAGGCTGCTGCTGCTGCGATGCCACTGAGACCGAGCGGAGTAATTTTGCCGTGCATCGCCGGCAGGTGGATTCTGTTTTGTCTCGGTTATTAAGTCTGGTTTTGGTCGGTGAGAATCTGGTGACGCCTATACTAGTTAACCATACCTCTCCTGCTGGAGAGTGGAGATGCTACTGCGGCCTTCTCTCATTTGATGCGATTTAAACGGGTACAAAATACTAGCACGCGGCCGAAAGAGGGGGAGGAACCCACGAGCGAAGCCGGCAGGCGGTTGAGGCCTTGGCCGTTGACGCGGCAACAAAGAAAGGAACAACACGAGGGATCGGATGGCGCCTAATCTCCAACCGCGCAACGGGCCACGCATCAGCCGCAGCCCGATCGCTGCCGTCCGCCGAGGACACGTTTCGGCATCCCGTGGCCCGGGGGAGGTTGGGCTGCTAGGCTGGCCAAGTGGCTCCCGTTCCGTGGCATTAATTACGACGCAACAGAACCCAACGGAGCGGCGACGACGGCGACGTCGCACACAGGGGCGGGATGACGGGACTGCCCCTCTCCTCTCCTCTCCGGATGGAGTAATGGATGTGGGTGGTGTGGTGGTTGCACTGTTCCAGGTGGTGCCGTGAGCCCAACAGCACACCACAGCACAGCCCCTATGGGAATAGGATACCCATCATATATGCTCGCGCCCGTCCTTTCCTGGGGGTTGGCTCTCCTTGGCCATGGAGGGAGGGAGGGAGGGAGTTGGTTCGGGACCAGCCACCTACCATGGAAACCATCCACCGCTCCTACACCTAGTATCCCTAATCCAGGGTTAGTTAAATCACTTCACTTTTCAGTCAAATCAAAACCACCAACAGGTTAGTGGTACTGGTTAGAATGGTGGAAAAAATGCCACCTGTCCACTCTATCTATCCGTCTAGAGGCGAATATACTCGCACAAGTAACTAAATCCGAGTCAAGCCAACATTGGTCTCGGGTGACACAGCGGTCTCTGTCATCTCATGCAGGCGCGACACGTGGCGAGCTAACCTAGGAGTAGTTCATTCAATCAAGAAAAAGGGAGAGCTGGAATTTACTTGTGTGTTTTCGCAAGCACCTTTTGGGCCAACTGTCCGTCCGTCCCAGGTGGTAGGATAGTAAATGTCACATGCAGGTGAGGTGAGGTGAGCAACTAACCCCACCTCTACCCTCCCTCGTGTCACACAGGCGAGAGGAGAAGGAAAAGTCCCACCAGAAACAAAGAAAGACAATGGGGGAGGAGTGGAGAGGCCGAGGGGCAGGACGGGGAGAGAGAGCGCGCGGGGGACGCGGTTCCGTTAGCGTCAGTTCTGGTGGAACCAACTCCAACGCCAACGCCAACGCCAACGCCGCTCCCATGACCTCGTCGCCTCCCTCTCCCACTCCCTCTCCTCCTCCAACCCGACGCAAAAAAAGGAAAGCGAAAATAAAGGGAGAGGGATAGAGAAAAGCGTGGGCGACGGGTACAAGTGGGGCTCTCTCGTCTCCCTTCTCTGCGGTTTCCCCATATCACCCTCCCCGCCTCTCCCCCACAGCCAGAGACCAGAGACCCGTTCCGTCCCGTCCCGTCCCGTTCCCTTCCTCTTCCGGCGACCCCCTCCCTCGCCGGCAACCCCCGCGGTGGGCCCCCCATTGCTGGCCCTCAATTGCGCCAGTACCCCCGCCTCCACCTCCAGCCCCCGCTCCCGCGTACCTCGCGCGGGAAAATAACCGACGGGAGGAAGGAAAGAGGGCCGCGCCGCGCCTGCCGGCTTCGGTTGGGCCGGGAGGGACCCCCGCCGCCGCCCGCTCGTCCGGAGGGGAATGCGGGACCCGTGCCGCCGGGGAATTCTCTAGACGGGCCTCCGCAACCGCGCCGCGCCCCGCCGGAGTCATGGTGAGTCGCGAGATCTGCCTCCCTCTGTAATTTCCGCTTCCGTCGCTCGTTCCATCTTCCTTCGCGCCTTTTCTCCTTCCTCTTCCTCTTCCGCCGCTGCCTTAATTAATGCGTGTTCGTGGTCGGTTACTGTTCGATTCCTCTCTCGTAGGCTAGAATTCGAATCACCGCGTCGTTTTCCCGGTAAATTTCGTCCCCCCTTGCCGAACAATTCATGGATTCCGCCACGAGCCACGCCAATTGGGAGAATTATTCAGAGTTACGCAGGAATCCGCGTCCGTTGAATTACTCGCATGCCTGCTGTTTCTGCGTCTCCGTGAATTCCAAGGGCGTCAATGTTGGAAAACCAGGAGGAACTATTTTTTTATGCCATCTCTTTGTTTTTGGATTTGTTCATAGGTATCATCATCACCGTATGAGCTGTATTAATTTGGCCTCGCGCCCTCGCCTCGTTAGGATTAGAAGTCAAACACACCAGCTGGGCTTCTACCAGTATATTTCTTCCTTTTCCCCTCTCCTTTGGGCTAAGTAAGATGCTCGTGCTAAATCACTACTGTAGTAGTACTCCAAGTTAAGTTTAGGCTGTCCTATTCCTTGCCGTGTGGGGTTGCATTCCATTGTTCGGCAAGCGCCAAGCAGGCAGTGGCATCTTCCTCCCCTTTTCCACAAGTTTCTACTCCAATGGTCGTACCGCATGTGCGTAATTATACCTTTGACCAAGTCTACAAATTAGTACCCTTTTTCCTCTTCCTTTCTTCCCGCCGATTTTTCTACAGTATGTAGAACCTCACTCAATCGTTGTGCTTGCGATTTAATGGCCGTGGATTCGAAATTTATGGATTTGTTCTTATTAAAGAGACCGTTATTCTTAAAGCAACGAGCATTTCTATGAATTGCTGCTACGAGATACAGTAGGACTTTTTATACCTCGAATATAGAACGGCTCTGGATAAATTCAGTGGCAGACTGATTGCGACGGTTGGTCGTGCCAGGGAAGCACCCGCGTGGAGGATATCAATGTGCCGTGTTTGATTCCATGACTATTGCTTTCTTGACTTGGCTGGGAGTTGCCGCTCTTTCGGTTCCACCTATGACCAATTCGTGGCATCCAAACTATTGGTGCTAATATTGACCCTGCTGTCTTTGTTGGTCAATGCCGGCTTGCAAGTTATAAATTGCAATGCTGCATGTGCTTCTTCACTCTCTGATGTATCTAGCTATGTCTTAGGTGGAGGGACGGAACTGTCTCCCTGCAGAGGTCAGGAATGGGCTCGAGACTCTGAAGAAGAGGAGACTTGAGAGGATGCGTTTGAGTGCTCAGATAGACGCCGGTGACAATCCTGCCATGGCTGCGAGGAGCGGCGGGGATTCACTGCGGACTCCTGCAAACTGTGGGGTGAGATTGCATGCCAACAACGTTGCTGCGGGTTTACCTAGCACTAGCAGTGCCCAGAACAATAATCCATTCGCAAAGCGCAAGGTGGACAAGTTCAATATGTCTAACCTAGAGTGGATAGACAACATACCAGAGTGCCCTGTGTATTGTCCCACCAAGGAGGAATTCGAGGATCCCATTGCGTATATACAGAAAATTTCCCCAGTGGCTTCAAAATATGGTACACCTTCCGTTTAACTCAAACCCATTTTTCTGCCAGTGTATTACCGAATGGATGAATAAATAATGACCATGCCATCTTTTTCTCCAGGCATTTGCAAAATTGTGGCTCCTGTAAGCGCTTCTGTGCCTGCTGGTGTCGTGCTGATGAAGGAACAACCTGGTTTTAAGTTCATGACTAGAGTTCAGCCGCTTCGTCTTGCTGAATGGGCTGAAGACGACACGGTCACTTTTTTTATGAGTGGACGGTGCGCTACTCTCTGTCTATTTCAGTACCTATTTAGTTTGCCTTCCAAGTCTCATCACATTTTTCACGATTCTGCAGAAAGTACACTTTCAGAGACTACGAGAGAATGGCCAACAAAGTGTTCTCTAAGAAGTATTCCAGTGCTAGTTGTCTCCCTGCTAGGTACGTGGAGGAGGAATTCTGGCGTGAAATCTCTTCTGGAAAGATGGATTTTGTTGAATATGCTTGTGATGTTGATGGGAGTGCCTTCTCTTCTTCTCCTCACGATCAGCTTGGGAAAAGCAACTGGAACCTCAAGGTAAAAGCTCGTGCTCTCTCTCTCTCTCTCTCCCTTTCTCCCTGTGTGTGATGTTAGCTACGTGACAGTCTTATTGATGTTCTCCTCTGTGCTTGTAGAATTTTTCACGGCTCCCCAGTTCTGTGCTGAGACTTCTGCAGACGCCAATTCCAGTATGTAACCTATTCCTTGCTTATTTATGTTTTAATACATTCTTAATATGGATTCGTTGTGATTGTAATTACTCTGATCCAAAACAGGGAGTGACAGATCCAATGCTGTATATCGGTATGCTCTTTAGCATGTTTGCATGGCATGTCGAAGATCACTATTTGTACAGGTACTCATCCTCATTCTTATTATTGATCATGGCTATTCCTCGTTCCTTTTTTATGGACAATTTTCTAAAAAAATTATCACATAACCAGCATAAATTATCATCATTGTGGGGCATTTAAGACATGGTATGGGATACCAGGCGATGCTGCTCCTGGTTTTGAAAAGGTGGCAAGCCAGTATGTGTACAACAAGGATATTTTGACTGGTGATGGAGAGGATGCGGCTTTTGATGTTCTGTTAGGGAAGACAACAATGTTCCCCCCAAATATCTTGTTAGACCACAATGTTCCTGTTTATAAAGCTGTGCAGAAGCCTGGAGAGTTTGTTATAACATTCCCTCGTTCATACCATTCAGGTTTCAGCCACGGTATGTATAGTTTCTTCTATCTTCTCCTTGATAGTTTCCGCATGCAGACTATATTTCTAAGCAATGTTTGAATAACCCAGGTTTCAATTGTGGAGAGGCTGTCAATTTTGCTATTGGCGACTGGTTTCCTCTGGGCTCTCTGGCTAGCAAACGCTATGCACTTCTGAACAGAACACCCTTTCTTGCACACGAGGAGCTACTTTGTCGTTCTGCAATGCTTCTGTCTCACAAACTGAGTGATCCAGAAACAATTAATTCTGAACATCCATACACTCAATATTGTGTGAAGTCTTCCTTTGTGAGGTTGATGCGACTGCAGCGGCGCACACGCAGCTTACTCGCTAAAATGGGTTCTCAGATATACTACAAGCCAAAAATGTATTCGAACCTATCCTGTAGCATGTGCCGGCGTGATTGCTATGTTACACATGTGTCATGCGGATGCACCTTTGATCCTATCTGCCTTCATCATGGTAGGAAATCCTGACATTGCTGTTTCTCTAGCCTTCCCCTGAAGTTTGTATTTTATCTGACTGTTTGTTTGTTGGAGTACAGAACAAGAACTGCGGAGCTGCTCTTGTAAATCTGACCGGATTGTCTACGTCAGAGAGGACATACTGGAGTTAGAGGCTCTATATAGAGAATTCGAGCAGGATATTCGCCTGGATAAGGAAACAAGTGCTAATGTCTCGTATAAGCAAGCTGCGATTTCTGATATTGGTGTCTATCATGGTCCGTCAGTTGGGACTAACCAGGACATAAGCAACAGTGAAGCAAACTTGCTAGAAGCAAATGCTGCTGACGGTGGAAAGAGCTCTCCTGCAACTTCAACGTTGACATCTTTTGCACATCGTGATGGGTCTCTGCCTGCAGAACCAAAGGTCAGTTTACCGCACTCGTATCAAATCTTGTTTCCAACTGTTGTCTTTCAGTTTGAGGTAACGATACTGTTGTTTTTCAGGTCCATGCAGCTCGAACCGACCAAATTTGGTCAATTACTAAGCTGTCCGTAAAAACATCGTCAGTGGATGGAAATGGTGGCAATTCATCCTGCATGGCTGATGTTTGCAATGAAATTAGTTCCTGCAATGCTTCACCCATGGAATATAGTGGCAATTCTGATTCTGATTCTGAAATCTTCCGAGTCAAGCGCAGATCCAGCATATTAGGAAGACCTGCTCCTGACACAGAGACAACAAACTTCTCTGAACAGAAGGTATGCTCCAGTTTGATCCACGAAATTTGGAACAGATTCTCAAAGAGAGGAAGCCAATCTATTTTTACTCGCGCATCTGACCCTGTAGCCACAATTTTGATTATTTTTGTCACTGCCAGCCTGGTGAACTGCTGCTTCCTTGCCTACCTCATGTGCTGATAAATTGTTAGGCTTAGGCGTGTATCATATTATAGGTTACTGAACGCGTGATTGGTAATTGAGAAGCAACTGAGAATCCATGGATTTTGTGTAGGTTTGTTACACTGCATATTTTGTTTCTGATATATATAAATACTGTTTACTCAGGTTCTGAAGCGGCTGAAGAAGGCATCCCCAGAAACACAACATGACAATAAGCGACCTGAAGAATACTCTGCGCGTACTTCAGTTCCCTCAGTTAGTATGAGGCACAATAAGTCAAATTCTGCCTCTTCTGAGGAAGATAGAGAGGACATGGTTCCCATTGCCTGGAGGATGAAGCGGCGGCAGCTGGAAGCTCAACAAGGCGACGCCAGTTATGCCGCGCAGCAGTCCAAGGTGTATCCATCTACCAGCAGCTGTTCCCAGCAGCAGTCGAAGGTGTATCCATCTGCCAGCAGCTGTTCCCAGCAGCAGTTCGCGGAGGCAACTAAAGACGCAGCCTCCTCAGAGGTCCGGCCAAAGCGGGTGAAGATCCGGTTGCCTCGTAGCGCCAACAGGCTGGTCGAGCAGCAGCAGCAGCAGCAGCAGGGCAGTTCAGGCCAGAGATTTGCAGTGGATGACAAGCCACCTGGGTTTTGGCATACGATTTAGGGTAGCCGACTCTCAGGTGCTAACAACCTCGACAGATAGGACTCAATTCTCTTGCATTTTGGTTAGCACAGATGCTGACTGACTGTGTTTAGAAAGGAGAGGAGGATAGGGCTGATTGCTTGGTTAATCCATTCTTTGTGCAGCAGGGCCTCCAATTTGAGGCCGGCCTAGGTAGGCACACGGTTATTAGAAGACAAGACGATTGTTCATCACGTTGTTTAGAGGCTTCCTCTGAGTCACCGCTTGCTGGCTGCTCTTTGATGCCTGTATTGCCTGTGACGGAACTGGGCCTCTCCATTCTGCAAGTGTTTTCTTTTGCTTAGCAGCTGTGTATCTCTTTCTTGTTTTTATCATCGAAAACAAGGGCAGCGTTAGCTGTTGCTAATTGTATTCTTTCGTACGCTTATCTGCTCATGATGAAATATTCAATCGATCAATCATTCTTTTCGGATATTGACGGGATGGTGTGTGAGAAATTTGGAAATTGTCTTGAGAGCCGCAGCAATTGAACTAATCAGTGTGGAATCGAACCATCTTCGTGTGAAATGCATGCGTTACAATTGAGGCCTATGGAGTTTTAGACTTTTTTAAATTTACCCAGGTTAGCACTAGAAAGTACAGTATAAGCAAAAAAGAGTCTCTCACTCTGATGTCCAAAAAAAAAAAAAAGTTGTTCGTCTCTTACTCTGTCGGGAATATAGCTAAGGCAGTCCTCGCCTCACACACACGGACACGCACAGGTGTGCGCTCATGCTAGAATAATGGCGGCCATGTCCATTGCAACCAGCACCTGCTGCTCCTCCTCTTTCCCTGCGAACCTCAGCCGGCACATCGCAACCTACTCCCGTTCTCCTCGCCTTCCTCTTCCTCGGCCAGCTTGGGGGCGCTCTCTCCTTGCCGCCTCCCCGCCGGCGAGCCGCCTCCGCCTCCGCCCCCGGACCTCCCTGTCGGCGTCCCCGGCCGCAGCGCACGACTACGAGGCAAGCTACCGCCGCTGTCTTTTCTTTCTTCCCCACTGCTTCTGCTTGTGCACTTCATTTTTCTTACCTTATCTGCTTCTGCGCGGGCACTCCTGCTGCTGGAGCCACCTATCTCTTTTCCCAATTCTGTCACCTCACGGTGCCATTACTGACACATGATAGAGATCTTGAAATTACTACCTTGGCGATAACTTACTACTCTGTAAAGAAAAATAAGAGCGTACAAAGGAGCACTTAGTGTGCAGCACATGATTTTATAATCAACCCTATTATTGTTATACTCCGGTATAAAAGAAGAACACGAGGGGATTATTCAGAGAACCCAAAGCATATGCTTAATCTCTTCTTCGATCTGCGATTGTACCATCTTCCAGTTTGCTGGCTCCCCCATTATACAGTCCTGCATACCCCATGAAACGCGTCTACACAAAGCAAATCCAAATAAACAGACGACACATTTTTTGCATTCTCTGTCTGTGCTGAGATGTTAATCATGAACAAAACACCCACCATATAATACTTCCATTGCGGGAGTATGGTACCGCATGTTTCTTGTTCGGGAGATGACATGCTATGATTCTATGGGATGTCTTTCACGCTTCATATAGCGTAGTTCACTAGTTAAATTAAATAGCCCTGAACCACATGTCTAACTAGTCTCTGAAAGCTCCTATGAGCATATCGGAGTTGGATATTTGTTCATTAATGTACTGCAAACTCCCCCTTTGTGAATCCACTCCATCTTTTAGACACGACATAATGTTGGAAAATCTGGAGCTTGTCATGTCGTTGAAAATAATCAGCTGAGGTTATCTGTGTCCCTATAGTTCACCGATACAAACGGAGAGGTGGAGCTGAGACTGGACATTGGAAAGCTTGGCATCGAGAGTTCAAGAGATGTTTTTGTTGACGTCGATGACATGTCCCTGCTCATCAGAGCCAAGTCTGATGGAACACTGAGGACTTTGATGAATGTCGGCACGCTATTCGACAGGGTTAAGTCTTCTGAGACGATATGGTATGTACTGCTAGCTCAGTAGCGGGCTCTTGCCTGTGAGGATTCATCTGTTGACTCGTTACACTGTTACAGGTTCATCGATGAGGATCAGTTGGTGGTGAATCTGAAGAAAGTCGAGCAAGAGCTGAAATGGCCCGACATTGATGAATCCTGGAAATCTCTCACTGCTGGGATCACACAGTTATTGGCAGGTATTAGCGTTCACATAGTTGGCGACTCCACGGATATCAATGAGGCGGTCGCCAAAGAGATCGCTGAGGGCATCGGGTGCGTGCATCGCTGTGCTATTACAGAAACTACTTGACCAATTGCATCCTTGTTTCTGCTGCGCCTTTTTTTTACCAATATATAGATATATGTCCTACTCTTAGATTCGCTGCCACAGATACTACCACAATTGTTGGTTCTACAGCAGATGAGGCCCCTGAAATGTGTTTAGCTGCGTGTTTGCAGGTATCTTCCAGTTTGCACAAGTGAGCTGCTAGAGAGTGCCACTCAAAAGTCTGTTGATACCTGTACGTCATTTTGGTGCTAAAATACGTATTCATTTCGGTGCTAAAATAGAACATACTACTCCGTCTCATAATATAAGACGTTTTTTAACACTATATTAGTGTAAAAAAACGTCTTACATTATGGGCGGAGGGAGTAGATCATTGCCGCTGCAGTGAGTTAACTACATGTATTACCTGTAGGGGCGGCCTCGGAAGGAGTGGACTCTGTAGCTGAAGCGGAGTGTGTTGTCCTAGAAAGCCTTAGCAGGTCGAGTTTTCTCTATTTTTGGGAGCTTCTTGGCTTGCTTTGGTTGATCACTTGCCATGCTAAAAATGTGTGTGTTGCAGCCATGTCCGTACCGTGGTAGCGACTCTGGGTGGCAAGCAAGGAGCAGCGAGCAGGTTCGACAAATGGCAGTATCTTCACTCCGGGTTCACAGTGTGGTTGTCGGTGTCGGAGGCCGGTGGTGAGGAAGGAAGCCTTTCGCTTGGTTGATGATTGTTTGGTTCTTCCGTGCTGACCTGCTGCTATGCGTGCAGATGAAGCCTCTGCCAAAGAGGAAGCCCGGAGAAGCGTTAGCACTGGGAGCGTGGCTTATGCAAAGGCGGATGTGGTGGTGAAGCTGGGTGGATGGGACCCGGAGTACACGCGGGCTGTGGCACAGGGCTGCCTTGTTGCCTTGAAGCAGCTCACCTTGGCAGACAAGAAGCTAGCAGGTAAAACACCAGCCGCCTCATGCTACATTTGGGCCCTGTTTGGTAATCACCGCACTCCCGGAGTCTGCGGAGCGGGGAAACTGCAACTCCACCGTTTTGAACTGCAGCTCCGCCAACTCCGCTTGCGGAGTTGTGGAGCGAACAGCGCCTTAGATTCCCTTTCATTAGGTGCATATCTGCAAGAAAATTGACATCAGTGTTGGAATGGCAGGGAAGAAGAGCCTTTACATCAGGCTAGGCTGTCGAGGGGACTGGCCAAACATCGAGCCACCCGGCTGGGATCCTCAATCAGATGCCCCGCCCACCAACATCACCAACATCTAGTCCAGCTTCAAGAGCCTTTTTTTTTTCCTTTTTCGAGACATTATTCGTTGCTTATGGATGTACACATGCCCGTGCAAAACATTCAAGCCTCAGACAGCCATACTCTTATTCAGGACCAAGAGTATGAAATGACAACCGATCCACCAACGGACGCACGCGAGAATAAACACAGAATTAAGAAAATTGACAGAAAATGATGATTATTTATAACTAAAACTCAATGTTGATTGGACAAAAACCAAACTAGGAGGGTAAACAAGGATTCTTCTCCCTTGAAACCATCTTAGGTTCACAAGTATAACAGTTTCCTCTTTGCAACTACTAAAACAGACAGACAGAGCGGCAGATTCATACAGACGCAAATAAACTCAGAAGACTACATTCCTTTCCAACTCATGATAACAAGTCGACCAGTTCCTTCCTCCAATCCACCATGGTCACTGACCTCATGCCTTGGCTGGAGCATCTGCTGCTTCTCGCTTCACCATCGGAGGCAACTGTTAAAAGTAAAACACAAGCTTATACTTAGATTAACTAAATGTTGCTATCCTATAGTGCCACAGGAGCACAATCTTGTGTGTTAAACGGGCAGACAATGAATCAGGAGCTAACAGCGCCTCAGAAGAAAGAAGGTCCACACCTTATCTTGGAGCCGAATTATTGTGGATACCAGCATTCTGTCACCAACTATGAGCCGCAGCCTCTTCACTAGGTCAATTCTGCTTATTTTCTTGGCCTGGTATGAACACAAACACAAGTCAACTCAGGCTCCAACAAGAAGGGGAAGGCCAGTTTTCAATCAAGAACACAACAACCAAGAACTGATGAATGGCAGACCTTGAATTCTTCATAACAGTTATTGATCATGTCCATTTTCTCGCGAGGAAGTTTGGTTGAAATAGCTGCAAATAACATGGAAAACGGCATCCAAGGTGTACTTGGAGCTTTTGCCATTGATCCTCCTAACATGGGGGCTTCATACTGACCACCCAATGCTGGAGATGCCTCAAGATTCATGTCCTGTTTCCACACAAAAGAGCGGTGTCAACTGGTGTTTTGTGACTCACCCAACATAACTGACATGACATGGTTAATAACAGGAAACTTATCATATTTGGAGATTTCTATCAAACATTAAGACTACAATCAGCTCGAAGTTATAATCTCATAATGGAAGCACAGGTCAATTGTTGAGTCAGACACGCAATCTGAATAACTGCATGCTCCTGCTGCTCCAACAGTGGAACTTGTCTGTATGAGAACAGAAGTTGACTCTAGTATGACAGTACCATCTTTATCAACTCCCAATGTAAAGAACCTCACCTGTGATACACTGTCGGCCGAACTTGGACTCAAGACCAGTGAGGCATCAGATGAATCCTGACAATCTTCTTGTGTGAAGAGGGAATCTGAAACAAAGTGAGAAAGCTGACTTGTAAGAAAATTTAGATTGACATTTGTTATGAA